GTCAAGGAGCTCCCCGGGACAGGCCTCTGCGTCATGGCAGATGTGTTCAAGGGCCTGTGGTTCGCAGGGTATACCGAAGAGCCCTACACGTTCAAGATACTGGGCAAAAGCAGCGGCAAGCTGCCCCTTTTGGCGGCCGACTTCTTACCCGACGGCGAGGACTTGTCCATGGTAGCGGTCGATGCGGAGGGAGACTTGCACATCTTGGAGTTCAACCCGGAGCACCCCAAGTCGCTGCAGGGCCATCTGCTTCTGCACCGGACATCCTTTGCCGTCACACCAAACACACCCTCATCGACACTTCTCCTGCCGCGAACCCACTCCCCATCCTATCCGCAGGCTTCTTCTTCGTCATCGTCACACATGCTTCTGCTGGCCTGTCCCTCGGGCCAGCTTGCCGCGCTCTCCCCCCTCGCCGAATCCACGTACCGGCGCTTATTGTCCGTCACGAATCAGTTGCACCCGGCGATTGTTCCCCACGGCGGCCTTCACAGCAAAGCACACCGGTACCCAGACCAGTCCTCGGTAGCGGTGGGCGTGGAAACGGCAGCCTCGTCGGGCAGGGCCCTGGTCGACGGCACGGTATTAGCCAGATGGAGCGAGTTGGGGGCCGCGAAGCGGACAGACGTCGCGCTGCGAGGAGGCTACGACAGCGTCGCTGATTTACGCGACGACCTGGAAGGTGTGCTTGGGTGGTCTGCAATGGCGTACTTTTAGGGGTGTTCCGACCAAGGCGAGGGGGTCAAGTGTAAATCGAATAGCAGCTGTTGACATTCACATCCTATCTATCCATCTACTGACTTGACTAGATGCTAGCAATTCGTGGCAGTAGTCGTAAACATGAATCCAGTGACGCAGTTGACGGCACTTGGCACTGTTGCACAAACCGTCGTCGTCTGCTGCACCACGTTGGTGGCCTTTGTACACCCGCACGGCAGCGTGAGAATTGCTAATAACACGTCAGTCAGTCAGTCTGTTCTAGCTCCTTCGCAAGACGGGATCCGAAACGTACCGTCGGCAATGCAGCCGCCCAACGGGTCGTACTGGCAGCCCATGGTCCTGTTCCCGTACCACGTGTGCGTGGTCGTGACGCCGCATTCCGAGGGGCCGGGCGTGGTGTGAGGCGGGTTGGCGGTGGTGGGCGTTGTCGTCGGCGCCGGGCAGCCCGGGATGTCGGTGTGACTTGGCCGTGGCTTCGTGCCGGGCGTGACGGCCGAGGCCGAGGCGAGGCAGCTATTTTGCGCTTGTTAGTCTATATGTAGGGGCGGTCGGTGGTTGTTGAGGCTGTCACGCACCCGAGGGCGAGGGCGAGGGCGATTGACTTCATTCTTGGCACTGGGAGGGGTAGAGTTGCTCTGTGTGGTTTGGGATACAAGGGAGCGAAGGGGGTTTATATATTGTCGTGACAGGGCTGGGATCGGGTGATTAGCATCTCGTATACATCCGAGCGCGGGGTGGCGTGAATAGGATTCCTTGAAGCTTAAGTTGGCGCGTGGGGGGCGTGGCTTGCAGGTACGAGGGAGCTGAAAGAGTCGAGTTGGTGTGAATCGGCGGCGCGGGCATTGCCGCTTTTACTCTAGACGCTGGGAGAGTTTGGTAGTTTCGCTAGGTTTATTAGTTTGGGGGTTGCCAACGTTATACCATCTCTTGGCGGGTGCGTTGCTTGATGGAGTTGCTTCATCTTGTCTTCCCGCTTGAGTTGTTGTAGTCTCAGTTGGCTACGCCGTCCTATACGGCCTGACTGGTCTTGGTTCGACCGTTCCTGGAAAGTTCCCATGGGTGATGCCCAAAGTAGAGATGGTAGCTATAGAGAAATAACGGGATTGTCTTGTTTCGGACTGGGGCGCATTGTGGTTAACGGCATATGCCTAGATTGGCAGAGGTCTCGGACTGGCGGGCATTGAGCACACTTACTAACCCTAACCCGACTGCATGTGATGCAGACATCAGGGCCTTGTACCATTGCACTTGGCTCGTAGAAGCACCCGCAAAGCCCTCTTTATCCTGATTCCGGCCATTAAATTCCCTCCGTTCCATTGGCCTTGTTATTCCCGCTGTGGTGTGTTGCGTGATGTAGTGCCCGACCGAGCGGGCCACCGTCGGCCAGATGTTGCAATGCAGGTTATGCAACATCTCAGTTCCTATGGCCTTTGACCGACAGTCTATAATAGACTGTATTCACTCATCATGAAGGATATAACAATATATCATAGTATATTATAATATGTCATGGTATGTTGTAGTATGTCATGGTATGTTGCAGTATATCATGGCATGTTATAGTATGTCATAGTATGTTATAGTATGCCATAATATGTCATAGTATATCATAGTATGTCATAGTATATTGTAGTCTATAGCGGGATAGATAGACACCTGCTTTAGGTCACTACTCCTTGCCTCATTAGTCCACGAGGTCTTTACATGCAAAACTATATGAAACTTGAGCAGACAGAGTAAAAAGAAAAGTATCTTGCCGTTCCTCGTAGGCTCGTAACTTCCTAGTCCATAAATATGAGGCATTGCGCCAGTCACTCGGCAAAACTTGCACGAGATGGTGTTCAATCCCGAACCTCGGGCTCTATTCAACAGCCGAGTCGTCTTATAAAGGAAATGTCGTCTTGTGCAGACTTGAGATTCGTCTAGGCGCCCCGTGCTTGTGCTTGTGCTTGTCTCCACAGCACCGCCCTCAGACTCTGTAAGAGGTCTGGAAGTTAGACATGAATCTTAGAGGCATCTCCAGCGCAGATCTTATTGAGCTTGTCTTCAAGAACGCTTTTAATGCGCGGAGTTGTATTCACGATGGCCTTGTATAAGATCTTTTAAGGTTAGTATCCACTGTTTTATCTTCACGGGAGATTAGAGTGCTTAAGCTCAGTGCCTCTTTTGATTCCTGCTCTGCAATTTTCTTGTACTGCTTGCTGAGAATGTTAGGGTTGACGTAGACGCTAAACTTTTCCTGTATCCTTTTGGCTATAACTTTATGTGTCGCCTATATTCTTTCTCTCAAGGAGGGGGGCGTTTCTTATACAAGGCCATCGTAAATGCAACTCCGCGCATTAAAAGCGTTCTTAAAGACGAGCTCGATAAGATCTGCGCTGGAGATGCCTGGGACGAGCATTGGTACTCAAGGAGTTGCCCTCGATTCCGGTCTCGGAAGGGATATTCGTGGTCTTTCCGACTCAAGGTTTGCTATTGTGTTGTCAGAGGCTATAGTAAGAGAGAGAGAGAGAGAGAGAGAGCCAGGATGTGCATACTTGTATCTGGATATACTCGGATATATTTGGCCAAGGGCCGCTATTGCTTTATCCTGCTTGCTTCCTTGATCACTGTCTGACACGTATGCGTTCGTGACGATGATTAGAAGCCTTGGGAAACAGAAGCAGAACAGCGGACAGAACAACGGGGAATCAAGGTTAATATACATTTTTTGCATTGGCTTTCCTGGGCTTTCTGCCTTGGCTTTCTTGCAGCTTTCTGCCTTGGCTTTCTTGTAGCCTTCTGCCTTGGCTTTCTTGCAGCCTTCTGCCTTCACGGACACTCTGGCAGGCTGCCATGCTCATCGATGGGCGGCCTCACTGTGAACGTGCACTGAACCCCCATGTCGCTGGATTTCTGCCCAAGTCCTAGGTTGTTGGCTCTTGGCTCATGTAGTGTCACAGAGAATATGCAGGTCAAGACGCGGCGAGGTGCTCAGACGGTCAGCCAACGCGCGGCCCGTGTGATGGCAGTCTGCCAACCCAAGGCGCAAGGCGATCTGCCAATTTGTGACTCGTTTCCATGGTTGTACGTTGTCAACAAAGACTACCAAAAATAATCGGATTCTAGCCTCGCGGCATCCCCATTTTCTTTGTTTAATGCACATATGCGGTGCCCCCAGCCCAACACCTGTGACCTTGTGACCCCGTCGTAACCTGTCCATCTTCAAACGCCAAGGTGGTCCATGGCAAGTCAGATGGCCTTGGATGACTCCGTAGAGAAACGTAGGAATCCAGATTACACGAGAGGATCCGCTCCATTGCTCACGCGTCCGAATACATGACCCCGTCTCAGGGTGGCTCAAGCCCAAGGACAATGGGAAGTCCTAGATGACGCTGCAGCTACCAGACGTCTTTTTTGTGACGAGTATTTTGGCTGACAGCCTTGGAGAGAGTAAACTCCACTCTCCGCTCGTTTCATCTCCTGCATGGCAGAACTGACTACCTCTCGGGGCCCGTGGCCGTGTCCTGTGACCATGACAGTTGTGATAGGGGGGCGTGTAATGTGAGCGCTTGGAACGGTGATTCTATTCAGAGAATAACTTGTGTTGTTATCAGAGATTTTTGGAGCACATGACCTTTGTTTACGCAGAGCAACAATCAGCCCCTGAACATGGAAGGCCAAGGGGCCAACCAGGTCTCGAGCCTTTGTGTAACTATCGTTAGGTTCAAGGGTCGGTCCGTGCCGCAACGCTGCGTGACCTCTTGTGTAACAGCAGTGGTCAATCCCGTGTTCACTGAAAGAAAAGGGGCAGGATCTCCAAATGAGGGAGATTCTGGGCACCACACTGCCAAGTTGGCGTCGACTTGAACAGACTACAGGCCATGTGTCTATGAACATAGTACGGAGTAGTAGATAACTACTTGATGCCAAACTCTTTGTCAAAAGACGAGGCTTCGTGCAAGAGCAGTTGTGTGTGGAACATGAACACGAGTCTGGACTCGCTGTTGCCTGTAAAATGTTTCAACGGCACTGCCAAAAGTGGAGGCCTCCTAATAGAGGAGGTATTTTTGGTAGGTCTTCTACTTTTCCTTACAACACAAAATATTAGCTGCCGTTGAAACAGCCAATAAGGATGGAGAAGGGAAAGGAGGAAATATAATAGGTGAAGCGGCATCTCTTGTACTTTACCCAGTTCCTCTGGCGGCCGGAAACTTTAATCCACAGTTTCAACATTTTTTATTCAAAACGGCTTAAAAGCGGTCAATAACTACCTGGGTCAAGCAGCATTGTCAGCGTCATCACCGTCTCTCCAACCTCCAGCAGCCCAGCGCCGTCTTTGCCGCCACAACCCGCGGCCCAGCTCGACCATCAAACTCCTCAAACATATCTTCAATGTTCTTCACCGGCTTATCTCCCCCGTTGGTCTCAAAATGTGTCGCTACCAAGGCAGGGATACCCAGCCTTGCTTTCACGTCTCCCACATCATTATTCAGAACTAGGAGGGCCATAATGGTAAGGAGAATACCCAGAACTGCTAACAGCAAGTTGGCAGCCACCAGGCAACCCAAAGGCGCCTTTGGCATCTTGGCCACGATCATCGAAGACCGTAACTGGGCTTCCACGGCAGGCCCCGGCTCGAGGGCAGCACCAGAAGCCGCTAGAGCTATCTCGCTGTACGTATAAGCGAACTTGCTAGCTATCTCCTGTGCACTGTGGCTCTGCCAAACATCGAGGCTGGTACGCTGGAGGATGTACGTATCCCCAACGTGTGTGTATGCTTGTGTTCCCATGACGACGCTGGTGGTGGACGAGTTACTCTCCAGCACAGAGACTTGTGTGACCGTGCTGTTGGCGGAAGTGTATACCATATCAAATACAGTAGCATTGCACAATACGACAAAGAGCACAGAACCGTGTTCGCCGCTATTAATCTCGGGATCGTGGATCAGGTCTTGATTCCGTCCCACGTTCTGATTTGCGCTCACCACGGCAGCAAAGTAATAAGGGTTGGATATTGGAGTTTTTTCCGGGATGGTATCCGACAAGGTCGAATTTGTAAAATATCCCATGTTCATGGAATTGATGAAAGTTGTGCTGATAGTTCCTTGCATGGCAAAATCGCAACTGTAGTTCGCAGAAGGACCTGATATGGTGCTGGTCGCATTGAAACAGCGCGTAGTAATAGGTGCGCATTTAGTTTGGACTGCCAGCGATGTGGCCACGTAATCTACGCTGCCATTCGAGAGGCCTACCGGAAGGCCAATGTACGCATACTGATTACCAGCATCGTCCGACACGGATTGCACCATGCCCCTCGTCGAGACATTTGCCAGAAGATTTAGCGACTCCTCAGCATTCCATAGGAATGTTGTCGACCCGCCCCGATTCAGGTCGCACTGGGAAGTAAAACTCTCTGTTAAATTTGTGCAGTTCTGATGTAGTCCAAAGCTAGCATCATCGAATGACACTGGCTCGAACTGAGTGAGAGTTACGCTCTTGGTTGTGAAATGGAGCCATGCATCTGTGGCAAAGACTAGCGCGCTGTACCAGATGTAAGTTACGATGAGCCAAACTGTCAATGATTCGGGGACCTCATTTCTAGAGAATTCTCACCTGAGCAGTGAACTCAACATCAAGATCCATATCATGACGATGACAGGCCTCGCAATCGGTGCTCTCTTTCGCCAATTTGTAATGTAGGAAATGCAATACCACACAGAGTTCAAGTACGAACTGCAAATCATCCGGAGCATCAATGACAACTGGTACGGGGTCAGAGTTCCGGACCCAGACCTGAGGGTGTTGACCGCTGCACGAATCATTTCCCGGGCAGCCGGAAACGACGCCAAGGATAGAATGTACGTCAAGGTGAGGGGAGCGATTGTGCTGGACCACGAGGCCAGCACAGTCAATGTCGTAGCACTCAGGTTGACATAGATGACACTGTCATCGTTCTCGGAGGCTGCAGCTCCTTGAATGTCAGAAAGAGGGCTACTGGGATATACCCGGTTTCTAAAGACGAGCCCGAGCAAAATGGCGGACAGTGCTACTAGAGGCACCGACGACAAGATAGATGCCAGCAATATGTCCCTGACTGAACCGCGAATATGTGTGTTTGGGGCTGCCATTTTGTAGAACAATTGTTGCTTGAACCTCGTGCTGCATCGGAACAATGTAGGATGTGGGTTGCCTTCCAAGTTGCAACGACGGAATATAGCTCGAGCTCGACTGGCCGTTGATATATACAAATGCTAAAACGCTCCATGCGCATCTCCTAAAGTCTAGATCAGCCTGGCGTGTGCCACAAAGTGCCAGGTCTGTTCAGCTGCAGCCTGGCAAGAAAGCCTATTTCAGTGGCGACATATGCAGAGTATATGAAGGTAATGGCATTTCGCGAGAGACATAAACGGCAGACTTGGGACATGTCGACCTGTTGAGCTGATTATTTATCAGCGCCATAAGTGAGTACAAGAAGGAGTCACTTGGAGAAACGGCTGCCATGGCTTCCAGATACACACCAGTTCTTGTGACCCTTCAAGATATGGTGAAGGCATGGAGGCCCATGCCTACGGGATTCTGATGACTGCCAGATATTCTTTGGCCCAAGAACTGTCCGCTGTAGCGTGGCTTGCCCCCTGGTTTTGACAACATCTTTCGAGGGCAACCATTTCGTGATTCCGTATCCATGGCATCCCACTATATAGAGGCACACATCGACAGGCTAAGAACAAGAAGATAGGAGCAATCCAACTGCACGACGGGACAGCAATGTGACAAAGCACCAGTGGCTGTTATCAAAACAGTTCAGCTTCCTTGGCGCTAAACGTATTGTGGCTGACTGAACGGCAACTGTTTATGGGCAAAAGGGATCCGAATTCTACAGCTTTATGGCCGCCGTTGCGGCTGGACCTTGCATCATGGTGCGCTTAAGCTTTCCGTGAATGCGTGCTGAATGCCGAGACACGAGAGCGAATGCAGGTGATTTCTAGACGCCACCAAACTCAGATTTTGCATGCTTGGCCAAACCCCGGGTGTTCCATTCTTGCTCAGCCGTGAGGTCCATGTCACAGAGCGGATAGATACGCGTCTCGTCTGGATGACCGGCCGATTGTTCCTCAAGATTCCGCGCTTCCTTCTAGAGTCGGAGTTCTGGTCCAAACATCTCTGCTGCACACACGGTCGCGACCGCTCTCCCGGCATAGATGTCGTGCTCTGCGGTACCAAGAGATGCCAGAGTCACGGGGCTCCGGCAGCGCGCTCAAGACTTGCCATTCTCCTAATTCCGCCGCACTCATATCCTATCGCCCGAGAGAGGTATTTGCTCCCGCTGCAAGTACGGTGGTCATCGTGGAGGTTATTCGTCGAATAGATAATACCGAGCACAGTTCTCCAAATATTAACCCGCGCTTCTGCCACGGCGAGCGCATGCCGAGTTGGTCAAATTTTGAGAGCTCTTTCTCGCTGACGGTCAAGAGTAAATTCGGAGGTGGAGGCCACATGGTGACACGGTAATGGCGAAGTTGGGTCAATGTACTGGATTAATATTCGGAGCGATTCGGCCTTGCCAGCTGGTACCAAGTTGGATTATAGCCTACTGTGGAGAGGCTAGGGCAAAGAGGAGATTGTCATTGAATCATGCTCTGTATTGATAATCTTGCAAAGTCTAAGTAAAAGGTTAGAGGAGACGAATGTGCAGATGGGTTTTCATCTGCACGCGAGGTCCGCACGTGATCACGTGAGACCCTCAACACCTACTCTGATATTTCTTGACTCTTCATCATCTACCATCCAACCCTCTTCCTATGATGTTGCCTCAGCCTGTTTTAGTCTACGTCGCCCAAGGTAAGCTTTTGGCTGTGGTTTCTTTCTATGGTATCAGATAGCACTAATAGCTTGCTGCAGGAACTTCGCTCCGCAGGGGCTATTGGCACGAGTCAGATGCGACATGCCTCGAGGTGTTTTCCAGGGCCCTCGTGGGTCAAGAAAAATGCCCTAGTATGTCCTACAAACTACCTCATCCTTGAATACGATGTGAATTAGTATCTCATCCAGCCAAAGGCAAACTATCCGCGTCGTTGGAGCAGAGCATTGACCTAGCTTGGGAGGATGTGCCCGATTTTGTTGACCCTTTTGGTGACCGCCGAGGTTGTGTATTCGACAGCGTTTGGATATTCGACCTCGACAAAGACCTCGTCTCTCTCCAAAAGAGATACCAAACCTGCTTCAGCTCTCTTGAACTTGCTCGGAAACGACTGCTCACTCTGGACGATTTTCAGGTGCTGAACTCGCCCATACAACCACTCCAGCGGGAGCCGAACCTCCCAGAGCCTTACTGGGAGCCTAAATTGGATCCCCTCCCGCGGATAAAGTCATTTCTTGCCAGACTTCTCCGTGATTTTGCTCACACGTGGCGTCATGTTCTTCGGAGGCCAATGAACACTATAGTATTTCAAAAGCTAGCATATGCTACCATCTGGATATCAACATTAGATTTTATTCTATTCGAGCGTGTGGGATTTGAACACGTCTCAAATTCACCTCGTGGTCCATATGTTGATGTAGTTGACCTCCCAGGCTGGGAGGCCCCTGAGGAGACTCTCGTTCCAGCCGGATCATGTTGGTTTGCTCTTGCGCAAGATACTCGAGAGGGCCTTGAAATGGTACAACGTCATATGACCAATCATTTGAAAGATTCTGCAACAACTGTGAGAACATATGCCATCCTGACCCTTCGGCATGTTGTTCTTTGCAAGGCACAAGGGAGTGAACTTACATGGACGCGCTCCGAGACCCTCTTCTTCGGTGATGGGTATACATCCGATACTGCCATCGACATGATTCTCTGGGCGATCCACACGACCGAGCCACAACCAAGTGCAATCAACTGCCTTCCCGTCGAGATCCAAGATAGAATTCTCTACTACGCAACAACCAGCTTTGTTGCATCAGCCAAGTTGGGTTGTACACTTGGCGCAGGATCACCCTTCCCTTGGGTCGATGGTGGTTTACAGCTTGAACTCCAAGAAAACAAGAGACACCGAACGGAGAGTTCCCCTGTAGAATCTCAGATTTATTTTGGCGGAGTTATGAGCGGCTTATCCTATAAGCGGGAACGCAGAGACGAGGGACTACATCTCCGTCGCCTCCTGGCTTCTGCTCCTCAGCGGGCGTAGTCAATCTGCGATGCCGGGTCTGGCCCATGTTCATCTATATAGCCATGTCCGTGTGGCGTAAACGGCCACGAGGGGAGAAGGTAAGCAGGGTGGTACCGACAGCGCTCAGCTTACATCTACCCGCTCTTCACACCCGTTCTCGCCTCACCTGCCTTGACAAATGTCACGCGGCAAAATTGACAGGCTCCCGTCCACAACCCGATCTCTCTGTGGGTTTCGCCACGAATAATATCCAATAATATGCAATCCTTGCCTCTTCGCCAGGGTCAAGGTAGAATGTAACAAGTACTGTTGATGTATATGACACCAACGGCCTAGAGTACCGATCAAGACAACAGTCCAAGTCTCGGATATTCGCGAGCCGCAATGATCAATCCCCTTACCATTCAACTCGGCAACATACATGACTAACGGTATCATTGTTCCCATCAAGTACATATACTTAGCTGTGCTTGTATCATTATTCAATAGCCAAGTGCCATCCAGCTTCATGGCATGCTGTCTAACAAGCAGAAACTACATATATAAGCAACCATCTAGCGAAATGCTACTTCTTCACTTCAAAGAGATGTATATAATTGAAGCCATTAACGAGGTTCATTATTATCTATAGCATTACACCGCCCATTAAAAATATAGTAAAAAGACCGTTTCGGTCCAACTCAAGAAAGGTATAAAATTTTCCGAACCCTACCCTGCGCCGACTTGTAGCCATTCATCACTGTTTAGCACATCCCTGTCCGACAGCACCGGTAAGCAAGGTGATTGCGGCCGTAAGACCATTCACGGCGTTGACCACGCTTGAAACATCGACAGAGGCAGGTTGCGCGGAGCCAGGCTGCGCGGCAGAAACGACATTGCTGACAGGGATTGGAGATACCGTGTAGGTAACGACCTTTGTTGGGGCAGCGTTGTTCTCCTGGCTGTTTGGCACGCTGGCGACTGGGGGAGGCTGCGAAACGGTGTTGCCTGGCGCGCTGGTCTCTGTCTGGGTGTCGCTGTCGGTTTCGGGGCTGGCGTCAGTCTCTGCGTCGGGGGCGTCGCTGGTCTTGATGGTGGTGGGTTTGTCGGTCTTGGTGGCGGTGATGTTGGTTGCGTTGGTGCCAGCGTAGTTGGTGTTGGTGACACTGGGGCTGGTGGTGTTTGTGTTTTTGGTGTTGTTGACAATGGCATTGGGGTTGGCATTTGCATTAACAGTGTTGGTATTGGTATTAGTGTTGGTGTTGGTGTTGGCATTAGTGTTGGTGTTGGTGTTGGTATTAGCATTGGTATTGGTATTAGAGTTGGCGTTGGTGTTGGTGTTGGCCGTGTTGGCACCGCCTGTGCCGGTACTGACCGTGTTGCCATTCGCATTGGTATTAATGTTGGTGTTTGTGTTTTCAGCATCCCCATTGGTGTTGATATTGTTCGTGACGGTATTAGGAGAGCTCACGGCCTCCTTGGGCTCGGCAGGTTTGGCGCCATTGTTGGTCTGGCCATTGGAGGCGCTGTTATCAGCCAGATTGCCATTCAGAGCCGTCACGCCATTGGCCTGGGCGCCGAGGACGTTGATGGGGAAGTCGAGCTTATTGCCATTCGTGTTGACACCAATCAGCGAGTTTGACGCATGGTTGGTGTTGACGTTGTTGGTGGTTGTGGTGCCGCCGTTGCTGGTTCTGGTGTTATCACTCTTGGGGGCGGATTCCTTGCCGCCGTTTGCAGCATTGTTATTTGTCTGTCCATTTGATGCCGAGTTGCCGGCCAAGTTGCCGTTGAGGGCATTCACGTCGTTCCCCTGAAGACCAAGAACGTTGATTGGAAACTTCAAGTCATTGTTGTTGGCATTAATGTCAATTAATGAGGCCTATAAAGTCATGTTAGTCCTGCATATTCTCTTGGACAGTTGGGCAGCAAGGCTCAAGGACGTCAAGGCATTGAGTGCAAAGCGTGTAAGTGGTAGTAGGGACTTACAGGCGAAGGAATTGGCGCCGCCGAGACAGACAGGCACAGGGAAAGAAGGAGAAGCTTCATTTTAAGAAATATACGCCAAAGATAGTAAAAGAATGTAGAAATGAAAGGAATGAATTGAGCGAATGAATGGGCTCAACGTAAAGTGTATTTCGTGTGGTAAAGAACGTGGTTGACGAGCATAGGAGCACCGTAGCTCTTCAGACTACCTTTCTCTATTTATACAGAAGATTTCTCATGAGAATATACGGGCTCCTATCAAAGCGCAGGACTGTTACATACAACACGGACTTCAGGTACAACTCTTGCCGCACGGCGCCATCTGACCCCGACGGCCACCAACGTCGCCTAATCACATCAATTGACCATACAGTATTCCACCGGATCCGTTTCTTTCCAGTTGCTCACCGCAGGCGTCCCGTGCAGGGCTCGGCTATCGTAATTTGCACCCCATTGCCAATGCGACTGTAAAGGTCATGCGCACAGACGATGGGACAACCAAAGAGTTGCGACAGGCTCTGCCGAAGACTGCGGCGCGGGTCCACGGATGAGGCCAGGGCAGATGACGGCCGAAAACGTGGGAGTGGTCCGTTTCAGGTACATGGTGATTGCGAGCTTTGCCGGTGGCTTTGTGCCCGGACGTGGACACGATGATGCGAGTGCAGGGCCATATTGAGCGGCGAGGCCCACGTGGGTGAACGGCGTCGATTAGTCTTTTTTTGCACTGTACGGGATCCGGCAATAATGCGTAGCAAGTACAGTGCGGCAGGGCGCAGTTGAGGCCCGTCGTCTCCGGTCGCGATGCCCAAATTAAGTAGCAGCAAATGTTGGCACAAGGTTCAGGTGGGACAAGACAGAATCTAACGGTCAGGCAGCCCATCCAAAGCATCTCCACTTTAAAAACATCATCTCATTAATATGTAGCCCCTCTGATACCAGCTTGGCAAGACCGGTTGACCCGAATGTCATGATCTGCCGCTCGAGACAAAGCCTATACACAACCCTAACCCTAGCCACATTACCGAGGCTAGCTCACCAAAGTGTATTTCAACACCATCATGTGTATGGAGAGCCTCGGCCAAGCTAGTAACCATATCGCTTCAAAGGGATCTGCGATTTATTTTTCCAGATGCCACAACGCGCCTGTTGTATCTGCCATGTCTATCCAACCTTGCACAAGTATACAGAGCGCCGGTCTTGGTAACAACGTCCTCAATTCACTGTGATGACATCTCGCTATTCATTCTAAAGATAAATTCTACATGTTCAACCAGATGTTGCCCTTGCTTTCTCTGGCAACTGGTGCTACAGCCAGTCTTACATCAGCAACTGCGGCATCTCCCCGTCTGAGCCTTCTACATCGGATGGGCATATCGCACACAACCCTGCTCGGCAGCTACATTGTTGGGTTTCGATGTTAGGGACGCCTTGACCCTTGGCATCCACAACCTTAATGGGCAAAATGGATAGTTGATGCCATCAGTTGGCCCCGGACCAACGGCCTCCCGAACATAGTTCGCAGACAAGTCTTTGGAGCTTGGTCATTTTTAGGCAATGCTGAACGACCCCCAGTCGGCAAAGGTACCGCAGCAATGTTGCCCGTCGGAAGCCGTAATGCCGAAATCTGTGGTTGAGCGTCGCGAATGATTTGCGCATCCTTCCCGTCCGCCCAACTGCAAAAGCACGAAACTGTCTGCCTGAAATTGGACGCCAAGCAGAATGTTGCTCACCAAACCGATGACTATCCGACTTGCTAGCTATGATGCCCGGCAAGAAGCCTGGCCGTGTTCGAGAACAGTCAGCGGTAATAGCGTGGCCAGGGTTGACGGTCACGCTATATTAGTTGAATTCGGTTCCATATCGAATGCAACGTTGGTGAAGCCAAGGCTTCAGGTGGGACGAGTTGAGATTCGAGTAGTATTCCGATACGCTAGGTACTATTTATATACTATACTGCCTTGTTAGGTATTTGCGCGACCTGTCTCAGCCAACTGCGTGGGTGTCTTCCAACCATCAATGATACCAGCTTCTTTCGTTGCCGAACGGCAATCTGTATTGCAGTTCGGTACTCAAACAAGACCTTTCATCCACCAATAGGCGTTTCTGCGCCGCATCTAGGCTGACAGGAGAGGACGTAGAAGAACGCATTTGTTTGCGTCAAACCAACTCCCTGGCTCAAGACGTTGCGGCCCAACGAAGCCACATCTGCATAGTCGGAATTCCCTGGATTTGTTGGCATCGTTTTACTGGGCAGTTTATTTTTGCGTTCGTGGCTCATAAGTTTACCACATTACTAAGAATCTTGGTATGTGTCCTAGTGTCCTAGTGAGGCTGCATATTAGCCTTCAGCATCCTACAAATACCCCCCCAAGCAATTGAAACATATAGGGGTAGCTCGGCCATTTGGTGGCGGCGGCATCTAGAGTCTATATACGAGCAGATGCCCTTGCCACCAATTCACCACCCGCTGCTCATCCTCGTGAATACCTCACCGAGGTTTCAGCTTGGGGGTCAATTGGCGATCAGAAATTGTCTCCTGGAATTAGAGTTCCCTCCACGTGATTTGCCTCAAAGCCTCCATGAGCAATCATTGATCCCCCTGCGCCCATCAAACGCCCGGGACGGCCCGCAATAGCGTCTGGTAGGCCTTGCGGCTCTTGCCACATATGCATCGGACGCTGCTTCGGCTCTATCTTTACACGCATCTCGACACGGCTGGAGTTGGCAAGCTTCTTTTTGCTCTGGAAGAGGGGAAACACCAAGCGGGCAATGGGCAAATGTACGTCACGCGGCTGAATCCAAGTGGAAATTCGCAGCTTTGCTAAACTTTGCAGGGGCAGGCGCATGGCGGACTGTGTAGATGAAGATTGTAGACCAACTCGTGGCTGCTTGCGCACGAAACGCGCCGTTTAAACGTGGCATCTGACGCCAAATCCATGTTCCACCGCCCGTCATCCAGACCCGGCATTGTCGCTCACTGCATGGCCACGTCATGCTCCACGCAGCGGTACCACGGTACGGCGGCGGGATCGCCGGACACCGCGGGATCCATCCATTGGAACTCCAGAAATGGCCTGCAGCAACGGCCTGCGCGGCCAATAAGCACCAACGATGCGCATGTAAGCCGTGAAAATACAACCTCGCATTGCCAGGCCGTGGCAGGGCTGAATGGTGAGATGGTTGCTGCAGCGAGGCGCAAGGCGGAGGTTTCGCGGGCCCGCGTTTTCGCCGCTGCCGCACTTGACAGCGTATAAAAGGACGTTCGCCTCGATAGGTGCATCGTTTGCAAAGACTTCATGACTGTCGATATCGACAAGACGCAAAATAGTCTAGACATGACGGTTAACACTGTTCCCATACCCGGGCCATCGGGGTTGCCTATACTAGGAAATGTCACGGACGTGGACATTGATCATCCGCTCCAATCCTTCATCAGACTCTCCGACAGATACGGTACGTTTTCGTCAGTGAGAGGATTCGTTGTGCGCATACTGAGTAGAGACAGGCCAGATTTACAAATTAAAATTCGGAAAACACACACTCGTAGTAGTCTCATCTTACGAGTTGGTACACGAAGTCTGCGACGACAAGAGATTCAAGAAGTCTATCGAGGGAGACCTTGAGGTACATGCCGCCATGCCAACCGTTTCATGCCCAGGCCAGTGAACTTATCCGTAGTATGACAGCAACTCAGAAAGGTGGTCCACGATGGGCTCTTTACCGTACGTTTCCCCAACGACGCAGCGAGGGACAGGAGCTAACATGCCCAGTCGCGGGGGGTAGAAGAGGAGAACTGGGGGATCGCCCACCGAGTTCTCATGTCCGCCTTCGGCCCCATGTCCATCAGAGGCATGTTTGACGAGATGCACGAGATTGCCACCCAGCTCGCCCTCAAATGGGCTCGCCAGGGCCCGTCGCAGCCCATCGACGTCGGCGAGGACTTTACCCGGCTGACTCTCGACACGGTGGCCCTCTGCTCCATGGGGTTCCGGTTCAACTCGTATTACCGGGACAGCCTGCACCCATTCATTGCCGCCATGTATGCCGTTCTCAAGGAGGCCGGCGCGAAATCCCTCCGCATCCTGCCGCCCATGTTCTACCCGCGCAAGGAGGAAAAGTACCGAGAAAACATTGCGCTCCTGCGCTCGACCGCGCTCGAGGTGCTGGAATCCAGGAGGGAGGACGGCGCGGATGCTGCATCCACGGACAGAAGCGACCTCTTGAGCAAGATGCTCAACGGGGTGGATCTGAAGACGGGTCGCAAAATGACGGACGAGAGCATCATCGACAACCTCATCACTTTTCTCATTGCGGGCCATGAGACGACCGCCGCCACCTTGTCGTTTGCCATGTACCAGATCCTCTCGCGGCCGGACGTATACCACAAGCTTCAGCAGGAAGTCGACGCCGTGGTTGGCACGGGACCCGTCTTGATCGATCACGTCGCCAAGCTCAGGTACCTCTCTGCAGTACGCGGGTGCTCTCGGCCAAGCAGCCCACGAGGTATTTTGCTAACTTTTGCTGGTATTAGGTTCTCCGAGAGACGCTCCGCCACAGCTCGCCCATTCCAGCCTTTGCCCGCGAGGCCATCAAGGACGAGGTGATTGGCGGCAAGTACGCCGTCAAGGCAGGCGAGCAGATTATATGCCTGCTGTCCAAATCCCACTTCGACCGCACCGCCTACGGCCCCGACGTCAGGGAATTCAACCCCGAGAGAATGGCAGACGACAAGTTTGACCGCCTCATGAAGGACTATCCGCATGCGTGGAGCCCCTTTGGCACAGGGCTGCGCAGCTGCATCGGCCGGCCGTTCGCGTGGCAGGAGACGACGCTGGCGCTGGCTGTGCTCATCCAGAACTTCAACTTTGTCATGGACGATCCTTCGTACCGGCTGCAGATACAGGAAACATTGACCATCAAGCCCAAGAAGTTCATGGTTCGGGCCATCCTTCGGGACGGACTGACGCCATCGCGGCTCGAGACACGGCTGGCCGGCGCCTTTGCCGGCGAAGCTCCAACGCCGTCGCCGGGCGTTGCTGCTGGGCACAAATCAAGACACTCTG